TCCTACCGGTGGAGGCAGGACGACAGCGCCATCTGCAGTCCTCAAACAGTAACCCAGGTGTGTGAGAGTAAAAAAAGCCCCCTCGTCCCGGTTTATTGTCTCATGGGCACGTTTTTGTATTTCGATTGCCTCCTTAATCCAGCGACGATGTTTGTTTTCCTCTGAACCAATGACATTTGCTCCATCCCAGCCCATAATGTGGTTCTCTCTTTTACACTGGTCACAAATGGTCAAATCGAGTTCTTACTGTTCTGCATTGTGTTTTGTTACTCGTGTTTCGCCTTGTTTCGCATTCTGTCCTATGTTCCCTGTTTCCCCAATGTATGTTTTGTGGCAGGACATGCAGAATATTTCGTATATGACATTACATTTATGCTCCGGTTCTATTTTGTCTTTTGGGTGGATGAGTAATTGCCTGAGTTTTCTCTACGGCTTCACTGGTTGGTGTTAATATTGTGTTTTCTCATCGCCCTCTGCACTTTTTCTGTTATCCGCCTTGTATAAAAGACATTTAGTCTTGTTATATATTAGTTGTTGTTTGTTGTTATACTCTTTCTCACCACAAGAGGGGTGCGCCTGCACACCGAGTGAGTCACGAACTCTTGAGTCAGTATAGCGGCGTGACGGTCAGTGCATCGGCTGTGTTTCGGACACTTTAATGTCTGAATGATAGTGTGCGTCCTTTAGATGTGAGTATTCTGGTGTGATTATGAGTGGTATTATGTTCAAAGTTTGTAGCTGTTGTTTGACTGTGTTTTGTGCAGTTTAGAAATCTTTGTGCGTGACTTTCGTTTTGTATTGCTAGCTAGCCTCGTGTCTGTGTAATTGCGCATTGTGTGTACGTTAGAATACCGTTTTTTCCTTTACTTCACAAACCCCAGTAACCATCTGTTATATATATATATATGCAGTTTCCTTTGTATTAAACCTGGGTAATTTGATTTGGATCTGTTTATATCTAAACTGCACCGAACATATTGGCCCCCTATCGGCCACTTTGTAGTTTGCAGTATTGTGTAAATAATCACAATCAACCACCATTTTGATTTATTACTGATATATTGTTTGTATTTGTTTGTTCTTTCTCCTGTAGAGAACCACACACACACGTGTTTCAGCACGCAGACATTAAAGAAACGTTCAACATTACCTGGATGTGGACTCCCTCATTTTAACTCACCAGAACGTCTATAATTGCTGTCCTGACCCGACACCCTGTAGTGATTGCTAGCCAGCACTCCAGTTTTCTCATATTATACAATCCTCATTACACGCCTGATGTACAGTAGTGTTACCATGTCTGTGCTCTTTTTTCAGTTTATTTTTGTTTTTCTTTCTCTCTGACCTGTTGTTTTCGTTTGTTTATTGCCCATTTTGTGTATTGGCATTGCTTCAGAGTGTTATGAATGTGTCTGTCTTCTTTGTGTTTGTCTTATTCATCTGTTATAAGGTTGGTTCTGTCAAATAAATTTGATTAAAGAGGCAATCGAAGTACGGAAACGTGCCCACGGGACTATAAACCGGGACGAGGGGGCTTTTTTTACTCTCACACACCTGGGATACTGTCCTGAGGAAGTCGGACTGCAGGTGGCGCGGTCGTCCTGCCTTCACCGGTAGGAAGACGGCGCCAAAACCTGTTTAAATCAACCGAGCGGACACGTCGCAGCAACATCACGTGACTCTGAGGAAGACCACAGTGAGCAGTCGAAAACAAACTCTTGGTCTGAAAAAACTAATAACATAAAATATCAGAAGACCAAATGAACCTTATTGGACTGTTTCAGGACTTACTAAAGCTGTGGTGGTGCTGCGTCAAGAGTTTGGACACTGTTACCCTAAGCCTGACTCTTAAAGGTTGTATAGAGGATTTTTTTTTGTTTCAAACTGTCAATGAAAGTTTAAAATACCCTTACAGAAATGCAGCAGCCTTGTAATTATGCTGATTAAAGAAAAAAGAATGAAAATCTGTCACCTGTGGACATAGTGAGGGCAGATAAACATCAGCCAATAGATAACAAGGCTACCTCATTTTCTATTGGCTGTTAGGTTGTCAAACTCCCTGCCTTTCTAGTGTAACTGATGCGCAGGGATTATGTGGTTTACGCAGCAGTTCTTAGAGGCTTTTTTAAATTGTAGTTTCCTCGCAGTTCGCACAAAGTTTGTGGAGATGATGGACAAAAATCCACGACCAGTTCGCCACAAACGAAAGTCCGTTTTTGAGGTCGCTGAAAGAAGAAGAGAAGAAGAAAAGGAGCAAAGCCAAACACGTGATTCTTGGAGATCTCTTCCAGCGATTGCGCGAATGAAGCAAAGAGTCTAAAAACTGACATGCCGGTCGTTAAATTATTTCTAGATAGGTCACTTCAGCAGTAATTCTGAACACGTGCTGGCTGTAAACAAGCGTGATTTCTAGAGCAAGGAGGCGGGAGGAGATGTTTCTACTGAGGGAGCTGTGGAAGAGGAAGGTGGTGTCACGCATGCACAACATTTGAAAAAGGACTGTTGCTGTATTTCTTTTCCCTTTAAAAAATCCTCTATACAACCTTTAACTAACCCTGAATTATTCCGAATAAACAAACAGATAAACATTTTCTTCATCAAGTCTTCGTTCACGCTGAATGAAGGTCAATATTACAGTGTGACCTGTGATATCGTGCACTTACTGTATGTGTCAAGTGTAGTTTAAAATAGAGTATATGACATATTTCAGTTTTTTCCTCTCGTGTCCTTCGTTGTCAGAGCGTCTTGGCCGTGTTGAAAATGAAAGATGGCAGAGCATATGCAGTGTGGGTCCCAGATGGAGAGCCCGGTCTGAGTGATGACACGAGACTAGGAGGAGCCAGCTGTCAACCGGCCAACGTTTCTGCTCAAGGCTCGGGATGTTCTGATGGATTTGAGCCGCAAGCGTCAATCTAGTCCGGCATATGGTTTAGTCCTGACGTAGACCCGGTTTAATCCTGTTCTTGTCCTGGTTTAGTCCTGACGTAGACCCGGTTTAATCCTGTTCTTGTCCTGGTTTAGTCCTGACGTAGACCCGGTTTAATCCTGTTCTTGTCCTGGTTTAGTCCTGACGTAGACCTGGTTCTAGTCCCACTGATGTGACTGTGTGAACATACTTCTCCATTAAAGAACACATATTACGCAAAATTTAGTTTTTTGAGCTTATTACATTGTTCGAAGCCTGATTCATCAGCCGATTTCACTTTGTGGAAATTAGTCTGACCTCGCAGCATTAGGATTCGTTAGCTCGACAGTAGGCGGCTGCTTTTTATTATTTAACCAATCGTAATGAAAGGCATCGGCTGAAACACGTCTGGACCTTGTAAATTGTCCATTAAGACATGCCGTAAATTAATAAAGGCATTTTATTTTAACCAGTGAGTGCCTTGGGTTTTTGAGCATCTTTTAACTGTTTTTTAGCTTGATTTTGTTCCTTATTTCTTTTTATTTTATTTCTTTTTATTTTTTTTATAATTTACTGGATTGTTGGGATCATTGTCTGTTTTTGTGTGTCTTCTGTTTGCTATTTTCATTCTTTTTGTATTGTTCTTTGCTGCCTGATTCATCAGCCGGTTTCACTTTGTAGAAACCGTCTGACCTCACAGCATTAGAATTCGTTCGCTCGATGGTACACAGGCACTTTTTTAAATTTAACCAATTGCTGCTGTTTGGTTGTGACATATGTAATGCGTCAAATCCCATAGCAAGAAGGGCAATAACATCTTTCCCCTTGATAAAATTCACCAAACATTCTCTTTGTTCCACCTTTAAATCCCTGATCTCGGGAATCGTTGACAACACAGAATATATGGCACTTTGCTGATTGGCTGGTGCCCGAACTCGCACTTCCGCGGTTCTTGCAAACCGTCTAGTGTATTCTGATTCCTGACCAAGTCGCTGGAGAGAAATGAAATTGAGCGGAGGCACTAGGTGGCGCCAAACTGGCTAACATTGTTGTCCCTTCATCAAAAACACACCTGGAGTTGTATTTTTGTTTCATTCACACATTTCATGCATCCATTAACCAAAAGTCGTCTTCTCTGAGCACTCAAAAATACTCAATTCGCATTTTGCCTGGATTGTTTGGAATTTTAGACATAGGACCTCATTTCCTAGTGAGCCAGAGTGTTGGAGACGTGTGGAGACACTTTTTAAAATATTCCATCCAGTCCTTGTATTTGCAGAGGTCGCTGGTGCTAGGCTAGTGCATGTCAATGGCCATAGTTATCCTGCCACTAAAAAACAGTCTTACCCACTCCACAAAACACCCGAAGCAAATCTATTATTACACCAGACTGTCGATGTAAATGTTTATGTCAATAGAATAATTTCAGAAGTAAAACCAACCTTGCATTTGAAGGATTTATGTCTGAGCAGCAGCAGTGAGTTGTACTTCCTGATAGAAAGCTCGGCAGCGGCGGACTGATATATGAGAAAATAGTCCCTCGACATGCGATGATTAATGCGGTGCAAGGTTAGTTTTATTTCAAACATTATTCTATCAACACAGACATTTACATCGACAGTCTAAGCCCCTAAACCAGTGCTTCTCAAACTGTGGTATGCGTACAGCTGGTGATAAGTGGGAATTTTGTGGGTTTTTGTTAATATAGAGCAATGATTCTTAACCATAGGACCGGGGCCCAAAGTAGGGCTTCCTTGGGGGCCCCACAATCAGTACAATATAATGCATTTAATATGAGACAGGGCCCCAGGTTATTTTGTTCAGAAAAAGTCGGGCCCCAAGATTGAAAAGGTTAAGAACCCCTGATATAGAGTTCATTTTACCCATGTTTTTGTCCTTCCTAGATTAGATTAGACCTGGTTTAGATCTGATGATACTGAAAAAGCTTTTCTTTGGAGGTACTTGGTGTGAAATCCCATAGCCCTAAACCATTACGATCCCTCTGGGCTTAGTTTTTAAAATGTTCTTTTGTTTCAAACCACAAGAACGCATCACATTTACATCTTTAAATGAGTCTGGGACAGATGGAGCCGACGCTTTTACTGTGAACACAAATGTCAGATTTTGTGAACAATTTGTTAAACTTAAAAAAAAAAAAGCAGGATTTTCTGGTATAGACGTACACTTTGCACTTTGTGAAATGATAAAACAGAGAGATGCGAAGTTACACCAGCTTTAACTAGAAACACAACAACATGAATATACAATGTGAACAATGGAATGAGCTAAAAAAGTCGGGAGCGAAAAGTGCAGATCTTACACTTTGTCAGATGCCAAAATAGTGTCAATGCAAGCCTCAGAAAACTTGGCGCGCTGAAGTCGAAGCTACTTAATGCGATTTTCTTTTTTTTCATTCAAATGAGTCACTTGGCACGACTCAAAGTTTGAAAAGTTCAGTTTATGATAAGAGATAACGTCCTCAAACATGTATATCCGCAGTCAGCTCCTTTCATTCTCCTTAAGGTTTGATCTTCGCCGCATCCGTCAGGTCCGGTCCAGTGCAGAGAGACCGCTGCGCTCTGGAGACGCACGCGGGGCTAAAAGATCTGGTTAATCCACGCTGATACTTTGCAGCGGATGGTATCAACATTCCCCGGGGGTGTGAAGCTAAGTGGAGGCTCTGCTCTGTCTGAAGCTCTGATAATCACGTTAGTCTTTAATCTGATCTTTGTTTTAGTTAACACAATCTGACCAGAAAGAGCTGATTTAGTTGGAATTATAACCGGTGAGTTGATTTGTCTGCTTAAACAAGTCTCTTACAAATAAAATTAGTCTTTCAGTTAGTTTTTTTAGTTAGTCTCTCTCGTCTTTTTGCTGAAAATCAAACTCCTAAACGGGATCTTGAACTCTGGAATTGATCACAGACTCTTGGAAATGTGTTGTTTAAATGAATTTTTTTCTTGAGTTGTCAATCTAAAAAAACGTCAGGCTGTGTTTGCGAATGTGCGCGGTGTATTACCACGGTAACTGCTGAACATTCCACTATAGACATACATGCAGAACACCCCCAGTGTGATGTCGCCGCAAAGCATCAATATTATCTTCTCTCAGTCTCACGTTGCAGATTTAACGCGTTGAACGTCGGCAAGACTCGCTTGGACGTTGGTCACGACAGCTGCCACGGCGGGTTGAAGAATTTGATGGAGTGAGTTTTGGCCCATTTGGCGAACACAGACTTTTCCGTGATGAAGCGGTGTCCTCCGTAGGGGGCGCTCTCGTGCAGCGCGTACTCGGCGCACTCGTCTCGACTGCCCGCCTCGTAGTAGTGGTAAGGGACCTTCCTGTAGCCGTCAGACCTGAGGAGACAAAGAAGGAACGGGTTTGTAACTCCAGAACACAAGTTTATTTTTTACAGAATAACTAAAGAAAGAAAAACATCAAAGAATAGTTCGACTTTTTCCCATAGTGTTTGTTTTTCTGGTGAGTAAAATGTAGCTGTTAAAGTACAGTGTGCAATAGGGTGCATCATTTGCCCAACTTTTTGAAAAATGTTTCAAAATCAATTTGTACCTAGTATCAATTTTTTACACTTGCCAAAGTAAACTTCCATGAGACATTTCATGAAATTGTATTGATGTGTACTGGGTCCACCAAGCCTCTGATGTTTTGTGTCTGTGGACGCTTTAAATCTGAGCTGAAAAATCTGTTTATCTATAATAACATCAAAAATTTGTAACTGTATTCAGTGGTAATTGGATTACAGTTAAAATAAATGGATTACAATGGTGTTATTTTCCTGTTTTCATATTCTGGGCTAAACCAGGATTTAACCAGGTCTAAACCAGGTCTAAACCAGGTCTAAACCAGGTCTAAACACCAGGACTAAACCAGGACTAAACCACCAGGTCTAAACCAGGACTAAACCAGGACTAAACCAGGACTAAACCAGGACTAAACCAGGTCTAAACCAGGACTAAACCAGGACTAAACCAGGACTAAACCAGGACTAAACCAGGTCTAAACCAGGACTAAACCAGGACTAAACCAGGACTAAACCAGGACTAAACCAGGACTAAACCAGGTCTAAACCAGGTAAACCAGGACTAAACCAGGACTCTAAACCAGGTAAACCAGGACTAAACCAGGACTAAACCAGGACTAAACCAGGTAAACCAGGACTAAACCAGGACTAAACCAGGACTAAACCAGGACTAAACCAGGACTAAACCAGGACTAAACCAGGTCTAAACCAGGACTAAACCAGGTCTAAACCAGGACTAAACCAGGACTAAACCAGGACTAAACCAGGACTAAACCAGGACTAAACCAGGACTAAACCAGGACTAAACCAGGACTAAACCAGGACTAAACCAGGACTAAACCAGGTCTAAACCAGGACTAAACCAGGACTAAACCAGGAACTAAACCAGGTCTAAACCAGGACTAAACCAGGACTAAACCAGGTCTAAACCAGGACTAAACCAGGTCTACTAAACCAGGACTAAACCAGGTCTAAACCAGGACTAAACCAGGACTAAAACCAGAAACCAGGACTAAAACCAGGTCTAAACCAGGTCTAAACCAGGACTAAACCAGGACTAAACCAAGGTCTAAACCAGGACTAAACCAGGACTAAACCAGGACTAAACCAGGACTAAACCAAGTCTAAACCAGGACTAAACCAGGTCTAAACCAGGACTAAACCAGGACTAAACCATGCTGTGTGGACCAAGTCTCCTCCTCCTTTATCAATAATATTTTTAATTTGGTTCAGTAAAGTCTGGACTTTTTATTTTCTTTTATCAGACAAAACATCTTAAGTGAAGATTGCCTCATCTTTTTTTCTCTACAGCAAATCAAGTAATCCAAAGTATTCAGATTACATTACTCACCTAAAGTAATTTAATGGATTACGTTACAAACTACATTTTGGGGTATGTAATCTGTAATCTGTAGGGGAATACATTTTAAAAGTAACCTTCCCAACACTGGTAAGGACACATGTTTTTTCAAAGTTTTTACAGTGCAACAAAAAAATCCAAGCTTTTATTTGTGTCTATTTTTTGGCAAAAGAAAGTTACAGACTGATAGATCTGGTTTCAGTGCTGCAGAGACCGGTGAGTCTGACAAATAAAACAAATTTCAATTTTCTTTACTCGTCTAATAGCTGTGTTTATCCAGAGAAAAGCCCAATTTAAACCCACGTCAATGTTTACAAGGCACCGTGATGGAAAATGTGCCTACAGAAATGAGGCTAATGAGGATAATAATGCCCAGGGAATACAGATGAAAAGTATTTTTATTCATGTGTAATCATGTGTTGCACTGTCCCCTTTCAAATAAATGAATCTGATCTAATTTTCCACTTGTAGCACACTTTAAAGGCTGGTCCAAGTCGGCAGTCGGCAGTGGTTTCTTTCATTTTACAGCGTGGTCCTTGTACAAAAACTAAAACGACAAAACAGTTTAAGTGAGTATAAATATTATTTTTTTAGAGATGGGTCAAGATCTCGTGAAACAAAAATGGCACAATATTTTTCACGTACAAATATTTCTTCATTATAGCTACTAGTTGTCAAATTTCGGGAGCCCTACTTATTATACTTTTGTCTGGAAAAAACAGAAACTTTGAAGTCATTTTTGTCAGTTTCACACTTGTCTCTTTATGGCAGAATATCACACTAAACCACAGGTGTCAAACATGCGGCCCGGGGGCCAGATCCGGCCCTCCAATACTTTTAATCTGGCCCTCGGCTGATTTTCTAATAAAATATTTTAATTATATTTTTTATTAAAATATTGTTAATTTTCTGTGGTGTTTATCATAGCAGCGTCTCCAGCGTCTCTGTACGTGGCCCCTCCCACCAGAGCAGCACAAATGAAGACTTGTCTCTTTCCAAACGCTCTTAAAGGACGATCGTTTTGACTGTTGACCATGACACCCTCATCAGAAAAATGTCAAAAATGAGAAAAGTGGAGCCGAGTGCAGGATTTTCCAAGAAAATTTTACTTATTCCTGTTTATATACAAGTTAATGTTAAACAATTTCATGTTAAAACATTGTGTTAAAATTGTATTTTTCTTAAAGTTTCAGGTTGTTCATAATATTATAATATTTTGTAAAAGAAAGAGTTCATCATTTAAAAAATATTTCTGTATTAGATTTGTGTTTCTCTGCACAAATATTTGAACTTATTGTTATTTTTGGGGTTTATATGACATGAGTTTTCTGATCCGGCCCCTTTGGGATCAAAGTCAGTTGGATACGGCCCCCGGACCAAAATGAGTTTGACACCCCTGCACTAAACCATAATTATGCATTGGAATAGGGAAGTTTTTGTCACAGTTTGTTTTAGTTTAAGATCTTATAACTTGACTATTGATACTTTACGGTGACATTGTGCGTTTGTCTGCGGCTCAACACTGTAAAAAGCAATATCTAGGTAAGTGAAAATGGCTTTAATTAAGAATATTTCACTTTATTTGAGTAGATTCAACTTAAAAAGTAAAATTATCTGCCAAAGAAATAAGTGTGTTTTTCTTAATTCAAGCAACATTCGATTTTGTTTCTTATTTTAAGTGCAAAAAGTTGTTGTTTTTCTTATTTTAAGTGTAGCAAGTTGTATTTTCATATTTTAAGTACAAAAAGTCTTGTTCCATTGGTAAATCATTCACATAATTTCACTTTGTGGAAACTGTCTGACCTCGCAGCATTAGGATTTGTTCGCTCAACGATAGCCAGGTACTTTTTTATTTAACCAATCGCTGCTATTTGGTCGTGACGTATGTAACGCGCCAAATCCCGTAGAAAGAAGGGCAAGAACGTCTCTCCCTTTGATAAAATTCATCAAACATTCTCTTTGTTCCGGCTTTAAATCCTTGATCTTGGGAATCGTTGCCAACACAGAATGTCTGTCTTCGTCTACATCCATCTCGACGCTTTGTTTACTGTTGTGCTGCACCAAAAAAAGGACCCAGACAGACGCTTGAGTTGGACGTCATGGCTTCACAGCTCTTCGCTGATTGGCCAATGCGCGCTCTACAACTTCTGCGATTCTTACAAACCGTCTAGTGTATCCGATTCCTGACCTAGCTGCTGGAGAGAAATGAAATTGAGCGAATGGACTAGGTGTCATCAGCCTGACTAAGATAATTTTACTTGTTGAGTGAAATTTACTCAAATCATGGTCAAACTTTGTTAATTCAAGTAATATTAACTTGTCTAGATTTTAATTTTTCTGGTGAATATTAAGCAGTTACCACGGTCACTCTCACCTTTTTGCTGAAAATCAAACTCCTAAACAAGACCATGGACTTTGTATTGATCACAGACTCCTGAAAAAAATCCATGAAATCCATTTGCTATTTTTTATTTTTTTGCTCAGGGTATCCCCAGGTTTGACGACCCCAAAATTTAAGACTTTTTAAAGACCTTTTTAAAATCACTTAAATGAAAATTAAGACCAACATCACACCCATTATGCGCGCGAAAAAACACCAGATCCAATTCTAATAATGACCAATACTCACTGCTTTAAATAACAAACAAAAAAGAAAAAAAAAAAGAAAAAATTTATAGTAGTACGCATTGATTGTAAAATGGCCAAAAAATAATTTATAATGTTAAAATATATTTAGGATTTTTTCCCCCCTATAACTCCATTTAACATCGCACTGCAGCCCGGTTGAGTTTACAAAAAATATAAGTTAATGAAATTTAAGACCTTTGTGAAAAAAAAATAAGACTTAGACAACATAATTTAAGACTTTTTTTAAGGCTTTAATTTAGGAACATGAAATTTAGACCTTTGTGGAAAAAATAAGACTTGGACAACATAATTTAAGACTTTTTTAAGGCTTTAATTTAGGAACATGAAATTTAAATAAGACCTGGACAACATAATTTAAGACTTTTTTTTAAAGACTTTAATTTAGGAACATGAAATTTAAGACCTTTGTGAAAAAAATAAGACTTGGACAACATAATTTAAGACTTTTTTAAGGCTTTAATTTAGGAACATGAAATTTAAATAAGACCTGGACAACATAATTTAAGACTTTTTTTAAGGCCTTTAATTTAGGAACATGAAATTTAAGACCTTTGTGAAAAAAATAAGACTTGGACAACATAATTTAAGACTTTTTTTAAGGCTTTAATTTAGGAACATGAAATTTAAGACCTTTGTGAAAAAAATAAGACTTGGACAACATAATTTAAGACTTTTTTAAGGCCTTAATTTAGGAACATGAAATTTAAGTAAGACCTTTGTGAAAAAATAAGACTTGGACAACATAATTTAAGACTTTTTTTAAGGCTTTAATTTAGGAACATGAAATTTATGACCTTTGTGAAACA